GAATTGTCCTACTTAGTGGGGAAGAAAAGAAATTATCACCGTGCAAACGCATTTTGTAAATCATTATTTACACATTATGTGTTGCTAATTCTTTCCGGAGGAGCAAATATGGGAGATTATCCCCTCTGAGAGCTTACAATTTAAGACTGACAACACAAACAGATGTGGTTATATAGATAACAATAAAAATAATGTTAAATAAAACCATAGCTGTGTGCATCACAAATGAGTAAATGACAAATAAACCTTACATTCAAGCTGCCAAAACAAAATTTTCCTGCATTAAAAAATTTCAACCTGAATGTGATGTTTCTATATTTAACTCATCAAACTGTAAACAAGAAAATCTCCTTAACCCAGAGAAGTAAAGCACTTTACTCAAGTTTTATTTTAACTTCTGTCTACTTACTTTCCATAACATATAACTTTGCCACTGAAAAAGAAATACCATATGTGTCATAATAGCATAGCAAACCTGGGAAGGGGCATAAATTTGATTAGCTAATAATTTTCATGGAAAATAATTACTATAAAAATTTAATTATTAATTCTAGTAGTTCACATTTAAATGACCACCCTCAGGTAAACAAACTTTATTTCTGATTTTTACAAAGTCACATCTGATTTAAAAGATAAAGTTTATAATTTAAAGGAAAACTGTTTCACATTTTGAAGACTTATAGTAATATCTTTGTGTATATTTTCCCTGCCCTTCTCACAACTATTCAAGCTTGCTTTCCTATCAAATTAATTCTCCCAATTGAATGCAAATAAATAGTAGGAAATTCAGCACAAGTCTATGTGTTCTTCTAAGTACTATACATTTTGTATTCTTCCTTTACCAGGCATCTTGCAATAAGATTCCTTGCTAGTCACCGAGAAATTAAAAAAGAAGAAAAGGTCAGTAGACAACAACTCCTGAAAGTGCAAATGAAAGCACTGATTTGAGTGCTTACAGGGACCCACCCAGTTACAACTCTGACTCCAGAGCCGTGAGAGGACAGATCAACCAGCACCCGTGACCTCTGCCCCCTCCCCCCCATCAAATGCTTATCTGTGGCCACCTTTCTAGCATTAGAGATAATACCACCTTCATCCCAGCTACTGTTAAAAATAACATAGATCAGATTCTTTCCTTTCCACAAATCCAAAGAAGATTCAACATTTAAAGTGCAAAAGCTGAAAGCAGTAAAGATTTTAAAGAGTATTATTTTGTTTTACTCTATGGAAAAGGTTTTCCAATCACACTCTATTATCTTATAGAAACAGAAGAAACATACCATGGATTGCTTCCTAACAGGGACTTGTTCTGCTAGCTCCCTGACAGTCCACAGGTGGTGAGTCGAAACCTGACATTAGCAGAATACATTCTATTTGAATACAACATGTTTAAGTCAGGAGAATGTTCCTCTACCAACCTAGCAGGCAGAAACTGCAGCTACACAGCCATCAGAGCTGCCCACCCTTTCTCCCTTCTCTTGTGGTTTTCTCTCTTAAATA